CACAAATTCTCCTAAATCACTCGTACGCACAACTTAAGAACAAATCTGTGTGTATGAACGGTTCTTACATTCTCTGTAATTACTACAAACAGCATGGGGTCTGTAGGTAAAACTAAACCTTAAGTGCATGTGCTCCCACCCAGACTGGTCAGTTATAGATGATACTTTGTTCCACACAAACATGGGTTTGAGGAGAGAGAAACTGGGCCAGCTTGTTCCAGGTGTGACAGCATGAAACTGAACTAGCAGGGTAATTAACTCTATATTTAGATTTTGTATTGTTCTTAACGTGGTTCCTTGTTCTTGTACATTCATCTTCTTCAGATTTACCAGCACCACACCTTCAGCAAACTGAACTGACAGGATGTTTCCTGGTTAATCGTGCAGCTCAAGACTCAAAGGTAAAATGTGTTTCAGTGTGAGTCAGATCCAGAACTACTGTCAGTGTGAGAAACACACTCAGCAGAAGTATCAGAGGAAGTGCAGTTCAGTCATTTTCCACACTCTCTCAGTCAGGTAATGTATTTGTGGGACACAGTGAGTGCACGTCCTCACCCTGCATAAGGAAAGTGCTCAGCAGCTGATCAGTGGCTACAGGTTTGATTTCAGTCCGCAGGTTGATGTATCGACCCACCACCAGAGGAGCTCTTCTGAACCCGAGGATCCTGAAGACGGCATTAAAAACACAGATTTGTTCCTGCWGATAGATCGAACAGTGACACACAACAGCATCCATGATGTACCTGTCCAGGTGAAAAGCAGCCACCTCTGCGTTGTGTCTGTCGTAACCTGCGTAAGGTTCTCCTTCAACCACAAAGTCTCTCTTGTACCTGAAAAAGCAGAGAATAAAAAAATAAATAAAAATAAAAAGCTTTAATGCAAAAATGACAAAGTGTAATTAAATGTTTTGAAATGTCTAACCGTTTGGGTTTAAAGACAACTTTCTGTCCTCCGTCCAGCACCAGCAGAGCTTTGAGCTGTGTGCCCTTATAGCCCACATCAGCCCGTTCTATCCTGGCACTGCTGAGGGAGGTGAGCACAGCAGCCAGCTCAGGGGTCTCCTCAGGATACACTTCTCTGGGGCCCACCCACTGGCTCGCTATCTCCCAGGGAGACTGGAGGGTGTGGGTGAGGCGAGCCCCCCAAGCCAGAGAGAGACCAGTCTCCATCTGTAAGGGTACAGCAATAACAGTGCATTCACACAGGAATAACTACAAAACAAACCTATTATATGTCCAAGTATTAAATAGGGGTGTAAGAAAATACTGATACACTGAAATATCGCGATATTTCA